GCACCTCCATTTGAAACAGGACTATCTGGCTATGAGGACGTTGGCTCTCTCCTTTACCAGGTCTCTGGACCGAGGCACACTTGACCTTCTTGCGGGATGATCTCTGTTGCAGGGCGCTGTCCTGAGGCTGTAGGGTACGTGGAGCATCCCTGACCTCCGCCCACTAGACGCTGCAGCAGCCCTTCCCACTCCTCACGGTTCTGCAGACGGGACGTGTTCAGGTGGCGCCCTGCCAGGCCGGGAGGGGGCTAAGGCAGGCTGTGCCCTTCACCTTCCTTCACTCGCACACGAGGAGCTGGCTCCAACCTGCGCGTGGAAACTGGCTTTCTAGGAGTGCCCGACCGGGCTGGAACCGGCCATGTGTCCTGTTTGATGCTGTTTCGGTGCGGGAGGGAAGGGACGTGCAGAGGGGGGGCCAGAGGATGGGGTATGTAGCACGAAGGCCTCTGGTCGACAGAATGTTCCTGTCACCTCACTCATGTCATCGTACTGACCCGCGCAGCATGGTCTAGCCGTTTGTCCAAGATAGGAGGACAGCAGGACCTGTTCCCTGGGGGGACTGTAATTTCAGTATTTGCCCACTGAGCTCCTCTGGAGTAGATTTAACAAGAACGCTGGCAGGGTAGGAAGTGGAAATTCCACAGCTCCCATCGCTGAACCAATCTCCACTAAATGTAGAAGCAATGTTCCAAACCTGGCTGTACAGATACGGTCGCTCTAGTTAACACTGTTTGATCGCTATCTCACTATCGCACCGATGGGACAAGTTTTTTATTTGTGATTTCGATAGCAGGAGGCTTGAGTAGCGATAATGTAAAGTCAACTTGGATTGCTAACAGACCTACCTTAAACAGTCTGCAAAGTTTCTGCACTAGTCAGGGAGGCAGCTGTGAGTTGCTGCGCAGATCGTGCAGCCATATAAGCTAATCCGTTATAGGACTGCTGGACTCTTGTCTTCTTGGTAGTGTAGGCTCTCAGTACCCTGCTTGGAGAGCTTCACTCAATCTCTACTCTCGAGTAGAGTATCCGGGTGCAGCAGTTCATCCAACTATGCGAAATCCTTGTTTCTGCTGGTGGCGCTTCTTTCCCAGGTGGGCCCCAGGTAATCCTGTGGTTGCCCCAGTTCAACCCTGGAAGATGTGCTGCTGATTTACAGTTGTGAGTCCAAGGTTGCGTGCAACGCGCGGGAAGCTCCTCAAGGACAAGTCAGTACAGGGAGATATCGTACACCAGGTGATGGTGGAAGTGCTTGTGGCCTCCATACACCGACAGTGGCGGCAAAGCTGAGGCTATAAGCACCTAGAGAGGTTCCTAAAGAGCGCATGGTCCTATTGAACTATCAGAGAATGAGACCTGGCAGGGACGGGTGGATGGTAGAGACATCAGCTACTTCAGTCTTCATCCCTCTCCCCTATGTCTGTCCTGGGCAATCAGAGAAACTGTGCTCCCATTCATACTGAAAGAGGAACTGGCTGTTCCACCTGCAAAGACAGTCTGCTTCTCACGTGGGTTAGGAATCCAGATGGCCAAATAAATACCTGGGTCAGGACAAGTCATGGTTCCGCCCATTCTTCTCACCCAGAGCTGGAGTGCTGTGATGCATGACATCCAGACAATGCCTGCCGCAGGCAAAGCGCCGTTCCCTGACACCCACCTACAGGCCAGCTCCACAGGTTGCTTCGAGGACACCAAACTACCGGTGGTGCATGGCAGGCAGGGTGCTCGCGGTCGTACTTTGGCCCCTCACACCTGGCATAGAAACAATCACACGCTTCCAGAGGAGGGGTCTCCCATGTGCAGCGGGAAGGGACTTCCCAGCAGGCTGAGGATGCCTGCTTGGCTGGCCGAGATGCGCGAACAGATCCTAGCTGGGTGAAGTGATATCGTGCAGGAAAGAACTGTGGGAGGTAAAGTCGGCTTCTCACCATTCTATCCAACCCCATCCGTCACACAGAACGATATGAGGCATAGTTTACTCACTTTGTTTTTGTTAGTCTGGATTTGCACTCACAGTTTGTTGTTAGACCTACAAAGAAAATATTACACTCCCAACGAATTCACATTTATCTTCTTTGGCAGCGTGGGTGGGTTCTGTGTGGCGTCTGGACTCTGGGCAAGAGCATTGTTCAAGGACCCTGGGCTAGAAGAACTGGGGGCAGAGGCTGTCCGGGATATGCAGGCGGGAAGAGGGTGAGCGCAGGCAAATGGCTTTGCGCACCGCAGCCCGGGAGACGTGGGTTCGTGCTGGTGGAGGAATTAGCCAGGCTTGTTTTGGGGCAGGTTGTGAAATGACATTTTGCCTGTCAGCACCTGTTGAACACCTGGTTCGAATAAGGATGTTGATTTTCTAGGAAGTCCCTCATGCTTCCATTTGGCCAATAACACAGTGATAAATAGGGACTGGATAGGGTAGAGACAGGAGGAGTAGCAGGTTATGTTGTCTCTATGAGACTTGAGCTCCCTGACTGGAGGTGGCAGTGGAGCCAGGCCTTCACCTGGGATGCCAGGTGTTCTGCTGTCAGGTACAGGTGGCTCTCTTGGTGAGGGGCAAGCCTGACTGCACTCCCTGGCTCAGTTTCTCCATGTCTTCCTAAACGCTGTGCCGTATACTTTTTGCAGACATCCTATTTCATTCTTACAATGACCCTGAAAAGCTGGCTACAATGCCCAAGTGTACACACAATGCAGAGATACAAGACAATCTTCCAGGACCAGCAGGAAAAGCAGTGGCACTAGGGGTCTCCCTTAGACTTTGGAGCTCGTTGCGTTAGTGAATTAATGCATGTAAAGCCCTTAGAACAATGTACAGGATGCAGTGTAAAACTCTCAAAGGATTTGGCTATCATCGTCCTCCGGAAAGCTGAACATTTACTGCCGGATATATCCTGCTTAACAGGTGTTTTAAAATCAGCTTTAAAAATCTTGTTTTTAATACATTTACCCTAACTTCTTTTTTTTTAAATTGACAAATAAAAATTTTACGAATTTATAGTGTGCACCATGATGCTTTAAAACATGTATAAATTGTGGAATGGCTAAGTCAAGCTAATTATCACAGATACTTTTTTTTTTTTTTTTTTGTGGTG